ATTTAGAACAGTTCCTTTCACAATCTCTTGTTGCAAATTACATTTTTATCACCCGAAATTATAACACATAAAGTTGCAATTTTCCAAACGCAACAAACAGACTACTCTCCTACCCCTCCCTGAGATCAAATTCAATTTACCCCCAAAATCTGGGGGTTCACGTGACCAGCTCCGACCAGGGTCTTTGCTTCCCAAGAGCAAATAGCCAGGGAACGAGGTTGCCCTGTCACACTATTGCGTATCGTACTAGCGTATGCCAGCGTATGAAAAATATCACTCATACGCCGGTATACGCTGACATACGCTAGGGGTACGTTAGGCATAGGTTGTATATGTTTCAAGACTCGGTCGCATACAGTGGCATGCCACTGAGCGCATACGGCGAGGCAGAAAATATTTTTTAAGCATGTTCAAAAATTTTGTGCGTATCGGACGTATGCTTTATACGATAAGCATACTCTAGGCACACGCTGAATACGCTAGAGGTACGCCAGATGTACGGTACTCATACGCTGGCATTTCAAAGGATTTTTGTGCGTATGGAAATTATTTCATTAATTTTTATACGCTTCTCATACGTTTCTCTCATACGCAATAGTGTGACAGGGCCTTTAGTGGGACGAACAATTAAAGTGCGGAAAACAGGCTTTATAGACAAGCAGTGCAAAGTTGCGTTGCAGAACACAGAATTAATTTTTCTCCAAATATTTCAAGATAAGTTGAATGCATGTACTGGTCTAAAATTATTACTGGCCTCAAATATATGGATGTGATCAAAATAATTCAGGTATATTCTATACAAATTTTGAATACGCATGGTTCGGAATAGGTATGGGGAGATACGACATATTAGAGAGGTTAAGATACCCCAGTTTCGGTGTACAGGTACGAGTAGTGTCATCCTGTTTAACTGATGTCTGTAATTTGATCATACTTTTTCTGTTTACTAGAATAGACAATGATATAATGCGAAAAATGTGCACCTTAATTACGAGTAAAGCTACTAAAGCTACAGACATCGACGAAAATATTGCTAACCAAAATCATGCTACCCGTACTCGTACACGTACACCGAAACCGGGGTATCTTAACCTCTCTATTAATTAAATTAAGAGGACAAACGATATCTATTGAGGGGGATACAGCATCGATCTGATCATTCAAGTATATTCTACAAATCCAACTTCTAAAATTAACACAGTCATGCTATATATACACACGCAAAAACGCACAATTAAGTTGCTGCAAGTTATTACAAATCTGTTCGATATACAAGCTACATGTTGACAAGTTTTGGTTCGCACTGCTTGTTTCTATAATTATGTTGTATAACAAGTTTAGAACAAGCTGTTAACAACTTGTATAACAAGCTTGATGGCATTATCAGAGACTTGTTACAAAGTTGTTCCAACAAGTCCGACACGGTCATGCTATATAACAAGAATATTACAAGCTAGGTTGACGACAGAAGGTTGTAACAATATTTTAATATTGTTACAACCTTGTGTCGTCAACCTTGTAATATTCTTGTTATATCATGACTGTATCGGACTTGTTGGAATAACCTTGCAACATGTCTGATAATATCAACAGTGTTGCTACAAGTTGTTAACAGCTTGTTCCAAACTTGTTGACAAATTGGGACAAGCTAGCAGTGCATACGCGGAACACAACTTGTTGACGACTTATTGGCACGACTGGTACATGATGTGATATTTTTGCGTGTGTGTTTTACAGAATTTCAGTGAAGACTGAAGAAATAAAAGGAATGGGCTCTGTCATCAAGTTTCTTTCGCTTCTCATGGTTGTCTTGGCGAATATCGTAAACACGACAGAGGTCGTCAAGGAATACGGTAAGTTCTACTGTAAATAAACACTCATTGAATGTAGGTCAACATTTCGGAATATAAACCAAAAAAGTCAACTTAACAGTCAATATTCGAATGCAGCCGAAAATGGTGAAATGGTGAAAATGGACGACTTTATAATATACTCCAAAAAGGTGCCTTTTACAGAAAATTGGACTTTTGAAATTCAAGCACTAATTAAATGAAATATTCCGTGTTTCAATGAAAAAAATGATCAACTTTATGATATATTCTAAAAATACGGAAAGTTGGACAACCTCAATCACGTCTTAATTCTGTTGATACTTTGCGCTTCAATTGTTTCTAACAATGTAAATATCTCAGCGAGCATTTACCCCCAAGCTTTTTTAACGGCCGTCGAAATCCGGCCTCACAAAATAATCTTTCAACGTGGATTACATAACCCAAAATATCGAACATTTTCTCACCCATTGCCAAATTTCTGTTATTTCATTTGTGAATGTAATATTGTGTGTTTCAGATGACCCAGCATCCACTGCATATGGCGAACTTAGAAAGGATTATAAAAAGTTTGAATTCGCGATCATAAAGGCGAACTTTGGTCGTCCCCCTGGAAGTGGGAGTCATTTTTTCTTGAAACAGAACGAAAAATCTTGTGTGAAACGCTGTAATGAAACTAGAAATGCTACACACTTCTGTCATTGTGATAGATTGTGCTCACTTTATAAAGATTGTTGTGTTGATTACTGGCCAAGGTAGGTTTAAAATTATCGTGTTTGTGATATCAGAGAAAATTGCTAAAAACCACAGGAACCGCTGGATGGGGGGGGGGGGGGGGGGGGAGAGGGCTGCAGAGGATCTGGCCGGGGAGGAAGGGGTTGTGCCCCCAATGTTTTGCCAAGTAAAAGAAAAAAGTAATCTAACCACAACCATTCACTTCCAAAAAACACTTGGCGGCCACTGGTGTACTGTAAGCTTAACTCAGGAAACGGAAAGTTGTGGGGCAGATTATGATAATAATCTCTATGGAGAATGTACGATGAGATTAAGTAAAGGGAGGGAGAAATTAAAAAATACGGATTTAGGAATTGAAACCCCATTGAGGAACCTCTCGTAATTCAATTCAATGTCAACAACTACAACTTTTATTGTACTTCAAAAACACTGCTTACATATATATTACATAAAAAAAGGAAGAAATTTACACTGATTTGAGAAGTATACATGTCACCTAATAACCATTTACTGCTAGCATAGACTGGTGACATTTACATTTATATAACACACATTAGTTTGAAGTCATACAGTGAGAAGCTGAAAGAAACAACATATTAGTACAAATTGACAGGTACATATACCGAGCACTACTACTGGATGAAAGAATACCACTATTTAACAATATAATTAATTTGACCACAAGTTATTAAAAGCCAATTATCATTGATGCTGTAAAATTAACGCAATATTTATACAGCAATATAAGGAAAATTTACTGAACTTCAGACATCATTTTCTCTTTGGCGTACCGTCTAAAATCTCTTTATTTTGGCATAATTTTATAGATAATGCACTAATTATATAAAACATACTTTTTAATTAGTTTTTTTGCCGCTTGAGAAACGTATCAAAAACTAAAACCTTGAATATATATAGTCATAACCAAGTGGCCTATATAGCTATACTATCCCACTTCAAGTGGGAAACTATATTCATTTATAGTTTTCAGTGCGTGTTACATACAAGGGTGGGTTGACTACAAAATTTTTGTAGTTCGCTATAACTACAGCTACTTCAAAAATATGTAGTCAGCTACAACTACTGCTACTTTTGAACAAAGGTAGTTCGCTACTGACTACAGCTACTGCTTAAAAAATGTAGCGAACTATTTCGCTACTCTATATTTTTTAGTTTACGGTATTTGGAGCGTAGTTGAGCATCCACTAACTCAGGCTGTAATATAACCTATAACAAATCGACTTACGAGTAGCAACAGTAAACAAAAAGGGTCAAAGCAACATTTTTGTAAGCCCTACAGTGTTCAGGAGTGCCACTTTTCATTGCGCTAAAATAATCTTTACTGTATAAAATAATCTTTTAAGCAAACCGTGTCTTAATATCATTCTATTCTATGAACGATTTCTAACAATTTTAAAAAGTAGCGAATAGCGATTTGCTGTTTGAAAAGTAGTCAACTATTTGGCTACTTTTAGGCAAAATGTAGTTCGCTATAACTACAACTACTGTTTTAAAAAAGTAGTCAAAAACTACTGGCTACTTGAAAATTGTAGTTCGCTACTGTAGCGAACTACTACTACTTCGCTACTACCCACCCTTGGTTACATAACATACAAAAGATTCTCCTCTTAATTAATTGCTGTTAAACTGCTGCTTTTTTGTTCCTGCAGTTGCAACGTAACTACCAAACCATTCAATCGGTCAGCGCAAGAACTTTGGGACTGTGTGGACGCTAAATTCAGGCAAGCAAAAAGCAACAGAAGCCTGGCACCCATTGCATATATGATGATAAGCCGTTGCCCGGGAACGAACATAACAGCCAATCAGAGTTCACGAAATTGCATCAGACCTGAGACCAACCGTACGGATATTTCCGAACGCATTCCGGTGACTGGAGAAGATGGAAAAACATATAGAAACGCATATTGTGCCAAGTGTCACGGGATTACTAATATCACTCATTGGGGTCTAATGGTAGTATGCTTTGATCCGGTAAAGAACGGAACTAATCTCGCATACGGAAGTGCTTACCTGTGGGAGAATTGTACCTGGTACGTATCCCCGGGGAATGAAAGTACTCTGTCAGCAAGTACTTGTGGACAGTCGACTCTGTGCGAATCTACGATCAACACGACAGAGTCGTTGAAATACAATGATCTTGTGAACAAATGCAAAGCTTATTCTCAACTGCTTGAGGTGGACGATGCACTATATAAGAATTTTCACTGTGCTTCATGTAACGGGAAAAGCGTCAAGAAATTCAAGAAACCGCCTGAGAATGTTAAAAACCCTTCACTGTCGTTATTTTTCGATTACAAGTCGCTTTCACGAGGGTCTGACGACGAGGACGCTGAAGTTACGAGGGTTGGGGAGAGTTCTGATGAAGTCATTCAGGGATATCTCACTATGATTGGTCTATCGTTATCAATCACGTGCCTATTAGCAGTCGTGATGACGTACATCCGGTTTACAACATTGAGAACAGTCCCAGGCCTCGTATTGATCGCACTGTCGCTATCACTCCTAGCATATCAAGGCCTCCTATTGGCTAGCCCATATGTGACGTCAGGAACTCCAGGATGCAAAGCTATGGCAGTTTCGTTACACTTGATGATCCTCTCTTCTTTTGCATGGATGACAGTTATGAGTTATGATGTGTGCAAGACATTTTCTCGAAAAGGTGGGGTATATTATTTTCCTATCATTACTTATAGCCACTGATGAGTTTTGAATAATCCTGATTAAATTTTGAAAACAAATCCATATTCTTTTGCTCTAAACAACGATCGATATCTCAAACTAAAGTATTTCTATTTATTTTCATTTATAATTAAAACTTCGCCTGGAGGCTAAAAATTAACGTTGCCTCTGTACATGTAAATATAAAAGACAAACATAGGAAAAAGCAAAAGAACAGCAGTGAATACCAATTACTGTGGGCTCTTAATTAATTAATAAAACAAGTTTACAAAAATTAATAATTAAGTTTAAATAAAATAAACACACACAAATAAAAATAAAATTAAGTTAATCAATGATTCATAATCATTTCTGTACTTCATTCAGGCAAGAGTAAGTCAAACCGTTCTGCTTTCCACCGTTATGTTATCTTCGCCACGTCCATCTCCGGTGGGATTGTGGCATTGACGTTCACGCTTGGCGAAACAAACGCCGTCGACGTTGGATATGGTAAGGAAATTATTATACAAAAACGGTAAAAGATGATAGGGGACAATAGGACATAGATAGATTTTGTTATGATGTATGATGGAAAGATTTACTAGATAGGAAGGCTGTTATTTGTGTGGAAATGGCGCGTTACATTACACTTTTAAAATGCAAGAATTAACACAATGGATATATCTGCCACCATTGACTCGGGAGACAAATGATAGAATTCAGGGTGCGATAATTCGCATACTTAAGTACCGGAGGTATGCCAATATTATTGTCTGGTACTTTTTTGTTTTCAGCCACGTACCACGTACGTACGCGGAACTCTTGCTACGGAAGAGGAACTCTAACTCTACGCGGAACTCTTGCTATCTTGAAATTGAAAATTGATTGAAAAATTGATCTGCGTACTTACTTTTTGCTGGTACCACATAACCTTTCCAAGTCCAAGGTATTCAATACCGTAATTTAGTTGGTATATCATGTGTTTGAGATGTCTTGGCATGAAACATGATTGCACTGATGGCACTAAGAAACGTCGGAGTCGGTTGTTTGAAATCGCAGAACTCCCTTTTCAAATAGCAAAACCCCTTTTCAAATAGCAAAACTCCCGTTTCAAATAGCAAAACTCCCTTTTCAAATAGCAAAACACCCTTTTCAAATAGCAAAACACCCTTTTCAAATAACAAAACTCCCTTTTCAAATAGAAAAACTCCCTTTTCAAATAGCGAAACACCCTTTTCAAATAGCAAAACTCCGTTTGCTATCTCGTAGTCTGAACATGTTTTTCAGAAACCTGTACTTTATGAACCTTACTTTTAAAGATTAAGTACACATTGAGCTTTGAGTACTGAGTTTGTTCTAGCGCTAGTATATAAGCGGCAACAACCATTGGCGTACCAGTCAGATACGACTCAGTAGAAATCTTGATTGATCGCACCCTGATAGAATCATACGATTAAACGAATAAAATCAATTGCAAGGAACGAGACAGGGAAACAATTAAGGAATGAGATAATATGGAAGGCGAATTGTCAATGTTGAAAATAAATAATGAATCGAACAAGAAGTATAGGGAAAAAAGACTACTTTAATACTAGAAAGGTGAACGAAAGAAGGAAAATGTGGATAAAGGTAAAATGGAGAAACTGCAAGGAAATTATAGAAGAATTAACTACAAGGAAATTCCCAACGAACTTTAATCAGAAAGTTTTTCTCATATTTTTCGAAGGTGAATCAACATCGTGTTGGATTGGCAAGCAGCTAGCTTTGATCTTATTCTTCTACATCCCAGTGGCAATCATGCTGCTCTTCAACGCTGTGTCCTTAATATGGACCATATTCAGTATTCGTAATGTCACTAAGGTAATTTAGTATTCTGGGTTATTTTTTCTGCAGATAAGATGCCATGTTGGCAATTAGCCTTTCTCACGGCCATTCTCGGGGTACTGCCCCTCCCACGTTCGAGAGTCTCCGCACCACGAAATACAACTTTTTAGTATTCTAGTTGTTTGTATAATGGTAAATTTACAGTTACAACTTTTAAAGGTCGCTTTTCACGTTGTTGGAATTGTATAGAATCTTTCACGAAGGCAGACAGTACCCCAAAAATGGCGGATTTTAGGCGATAACTCGCCGCGAGATAATGCGAGTTTAGGCAATTTAGATCCCAGAGGCAAAGTAGGCCTGATTTTGTCCTTCGTGAGAAAGGGTGATTGGCTGTACTTGGCGGCAGATCCAAAGCATTGCCAATGGATTTTTCTTATCTATAATATAGTTTCAACACTCTGGGCGTTGCTACAACACCAAAATGGTGTAGAATCGTCACAGCTCAGTAGAAGACACTGATTTACTGATTTAATGTAAATGATAACACCATTTTTGTGCTAGTGAACACCAAATTTACACGCAACAAGTGTATCGAAAAACCTATACTGGGTATACTAATGTAAACAGGGTTCGTACATGTCAGGAAGAGTCAAATTCAAGGACTTTTCAGGGACATTCAAGGCCGTGTGTCAGCAATTCAAGGACTAAATACTGAAGAAGAAGGCGTTAGAAATCAGCAAAATCTGACGTTGAATTGTTCAAAACGTAACTTTATAATGAGGTCAGATACGAACATGCAAAATCAGTTCAACAAAATGTCCGTCTTGAATGTCAAACAATTTCAGAAAATATCCAAAAACTAAAGCAAGAAGAATTCAAGGACATTCAAGTACTTCTTTACAAATTCAAGGACATTAAGGCCTTGAATTTTTGTTTTCAAATTTAAGGACATCCAAGGACTTTCAAGTTTTGTACGAACCATGTTTACACCAAATCATCTCCAGAGCTGCAATGATAATTTTGGTGTTGTACCAACACCAAGAAATTTAGAGTAAATAGGAGTCCAGTATCTGTCGGATCTTATCTAACTATAAATTCCACTTCAAGGTTTGTTTAGACTCTGCCTATACATAATCTCTATCTATGTATGTATTTATATAATATTTTAATAGTTATTGTATATATATGGCTTAATGTTCTCTACTTTAACTTTTCAGCTAACAAAAGGTGTTCAAAAATCAGTGAAATCCGACAGTCGAGGCCAAAATGCGAAAATCTACAGTAAGCTCTCGACCGTGATGGGCGTTACTTGGTTCCTGGGTTTTGGTGCTGCTCATAACACCATAGTTGCCTACCTCTATATCATTGTCAACAGCCTACAAGGTATGAACTTGTCAGAGAGACAATTGTATTTTATTATGCCCAGCCAGTTCTCACACTCTATTCATGTTTATCATATTCAATAAGGGGTGAACCTATAGATATCCTGGGAGATTTTCGTTGCAAGATTTCTTTAAGTTCAGGGCTTTGTCGAACTTTTTAGGGTGTAGAAGCTGTGCAGGAATATTTTTAATAATTTTCTGTATTTGCCATGTACGTAACAACGGACAAGTTGTAACAAACCTGCAGCAGACTTGTAGTACATTACCGTTGCCAGTACATCACGGCATAGTTTTTAAAATTTTATTGTTAGTTTATAAAACAATTAATGGCACGAGTCCAAGGTATCTGACTGATCTACTACAGTTTCGTGAATCCTCAAGATCACTACGATCTGTATCGAATGAACTCTTAAGTCAACCGAGAACTATTACGAAGACATATGGTGATAAAGCTTTTTCAGTTTGTGCACCTAGACTTTGGAATATTTTACCATTGGATATTCGCAAGTCATCTAGTGTTTACGCTTTTAAGAAGTCAGTTAAAACTCATCTTTTTTCAAAATTTGTTAGTAGCAAATCTTTATTCATGTAGATAACTTTAGGTACCTTACTTTGTTTGTATATAGTAGTTTTATTCTAAATCATGTAAAGCGCCTTGAACAGCTTTGAATTTGTGCGCTATATAAATAAAGTTTATTATTATTATTATTATTATTATTATTGTAGCAATGCTGTTCCAACAACTTGTCAACAGGATGTGTTCGCACTGCTAGTTCTGAGCTTGTTGACAAGTTGTCAACGGCTTGTTGGCAACTTGCTACAAGGTTGTTGAGCTCAACAGACTTATTACCAAATGTACATAAATTGGTTGATCGAGGGTCTGGACGAGGTTAACCGACTATAAACCTTTCCCCTCTTTTGACTGATAGCTGGCAACCATCTTAGTTAACAGCTGATGAATGACAGCAATTTGAATTTTGGCTGCGAAGTTTACTTTATAAACTATTTCTACATTTGAAACAGGAGTTTTCATCTTCTTCACGTTTGTCTTAAACAAGCGAACAATGAACATGTGGCGGAACGCAGCATCAACACGAAGTGGACGTAGTTCAACAAACACAAGACAAACGCGAGTCTCGAAGTTCACCAAAGCTACAGGTGGACCTTATGCGTCAACCATTCAACTGAACGACAAAAAAGAACAACAACGCGAGACGGGCTTTACTAACCTCGCACAATCAACCAATAAGTGAATAGAAAGTGGGAGAATTTGGTCATATTCTCTCCAGGGTGCTTCAACTTAAATCTGTGAACAGTTTTTAAGGAGCAGCCATCTTTGATCCCTCAGATAACTTCATTGGGACTTTATTTCTAACATAATTAAAAACATTTAATTACGTAACACTATAGTTTATATAGTTGAAGAACCTTACATGCAACTCAAAGTTTTAAAAGGAATAAAAGCATATAACAATTCTACGAAATAATTTTAATAAAGCATGGGGAAAAGTAGGAAAAGATGGGCTGCCCAACTAAATTCCCAACTCTATG